ATCGATGACTAATCCAGGAACAAAAGGATCATCCTTAGGACAGATGGTTGGCATATCTGTCAGTTTCCCTCAACTGACTATTTTTGTTGTATGTGCACTATATACCAACATATTCCTAGGATAAACTAGGATATTACAGTGTGCAATAGTAATACATTTCCAGCTTAGCACTATAGGTTTATGTGTCAATCAGTTAAACTATTAAAAGAGGATAGCATGATGATGCTATTGGCTGGGAAGAGAAGGACTATTTATGAAACCAGAGGTAACTCAACAAGGTAAAGACTGCTTTTGACAATCATGTGCACATGGAAACCCAGCCCTGAGACTTAGAAAGAGTAGATATTGCAAGACAATATCTTTAAGTCTCAAGGTTGGTGGGGTCCCCATTGAGAAGAGCACCATACTTTCTCCTGAGCTTTGAAATGATCCCAGAATACAAAGTATACAGGCAAATGGATTTCTGTTGATGTCAAAAAAGGAATAAATAGAAACTATAAATATATTTAGCAAGCAAATTGTTTACTGTAAACAGTGGGTCACTTACTCTTTCCCATATAGACAACCTCTCAGCCTACACATTAAAAAAATTAATTAATTAATTACTCCACGTTCACTTGAAGGCACACACTCCCTTAATATAAGACGACAGTTCTTTGTTTAAAATGACTTGGAAAAGGAATCAGGTAGGAGAAGCTAGAGACAGAGAACCTCGATTCAAATCCTAGTTTTGCCACTTACTCTTTGCTAAGTCACTTCTTATAGTAAGAGACTGCTGCTGAATTTGCTGAATGTAATAGCAATATTGCACTCATATAAAGAAAAGAAAGTGAAATAAAAGGAAAAGAGTTCTTATCTCTAAGGCATAAGTTAGGGTGAAATGATATGTCTAGATTTTACTTCCACTCCCAGCTCCAACCGCCTACCCCCAACACAAAAAGAGTACTGGAAAGACAGAAGAAACAAGATTGGTAAAATGTTGATGATCGTAAGACCGATTTCATGGGAGTTCATTATCTAATTACGCCAACTTCATTGTGTTTGAAAATTTCCATAATAATACGTTTAGAAATATAAATTTGACATCTCAGTCACCTAAAAGGCTAGAAGCTAATTTCTTTTTCTTTTGTAAACACTCTACTCACATTACTGAAAATGCTGCCTGCTCTCTATTATATTCAATTGTGCTCACTGATACATTTTTTAAATTGTATGACTTTTTGGGGTCTCTCAGATATAAACTCCACAAGAGGTTGACTGTTTTGTTCATTTACACTTATCTTTTATTAAACACAGTAAGTGGTCAGAGAATATTGTTTGTATATTATTTCAGTAAAAAAATCTACCCCTGTAGGATTGCTGTAGAACTAGACTGAGAAAATAAATGTAAAAGTACTTTTTAAAAAAAGAAGCACTGCATAAATTCTACTTCAAACCATCATCATAATTATTATTGGAAATTTGAATCCTTTGCTCCATTTTTAAACATCATACCAAAATTTGACACCAGCATTGCTCCATGGAGATCCCTATTATCTCATTAAGAAAATTAAGTAACTTAAAGAAGTGACTAGAATGAACCCAAGTGTTTTAAAGAATCTCCTAGGACAGTATAAAAATGTATACACCAGGTAGTTTGTATTCTTGCCCAAATTTAAAATCTAGCAGCACACAGGCCGAATGAGCTATCGTTGCGCATATTTGAAACTATATGCTTGGATTCGGAATACTTAAAAGTCAACTGGGTCACAGCAGGTCGATATACAAATGTGCTTTAGGTTCAAATACTGCTTTCTAAAGTTATCCAAATATTACATTTAAAAAACGTCAAAAACATTCAATAAGAGGTATACCTTGCGGGTAGATTGTCTTCTAACACGTGAAAGATTACCACCAAACTAAGCAAATGTGCTCTGGAAGCCCACAGGAATTCTGGATGCTCACACACTCTGAGATAGCCTGCAACGGCTTCGTGGTCCTCCCACATTCACCCCCTTCCCAGGCTCAGAGAGCAAGCCTCCCTCCGACGCCCCGAGGAGAAGCATCCCGGAGAGAGACAAATGGAAGGGCTCCGGGACACACACAGCAGCAGAAGTCTCTCCCGCCCACTCTGCCCACTGAAAGTCCTCCTTGGAATGCTCGAGGAGGTCGGAGTCTCCCGAGTGTCTGCACTTTTCGCGGTCGTCTTGAAAGTACCCGCCCCCGTTTCCGCAGAGCACCCTCCGCGTCTTCAGGATTGGTGCCCGGGTGGGGTCTGCAGCTGACCACAGTCCGCCTTTGTGCGCAAGATGCAGTTGCGGGACTCCGGGAAGGATGGAGGCACTTGTACCTTTGCGACCGGAGAAAGACTGAATATTCCTGCATAGGCGATGTAATGGGTGATCGAAAAGAAATATAGGAGCTCCAGTGGCGCAATTGGACAGCGCGCGGTACTTATATGGCAGTATGTGTGCGAGTGATGCCGAGGTTGTGAGTTCAATCCTCACCTGGAGCAGTATTTTCCAATCGGAGATTAGCATCCCTTGAAGAGACCCTTTCCCCTTTGCTTTCCTGTCTACTACACCATCTTCGATGTGTTTCTTTGAATTTGTCCTATAGCATTTATTCTTACCGCTTCCTTAGCGCCAATTAGCGTCAAGCAATTACCAACTGAATGAATCTTTTGTGCTGCAGTGGGTTATCTTCTCTAATTCTTTATCCCCACCTTGTCTTGCAAGCTGATCTCAAATAAAGAACATTTCCTGACACCCCCTCCACCACCCCGTCTCACTTTGCTCTTATGACCATCATTCCTCAGGGATCCCCTGGTGCGTACTTAGAAATCGCTAAGTAACTTCCCCGAGGTGATAAGCATTGAACTCCATTAGAGGGAATCAAAAGTGGGAACTTGCATAGAGTTCCTGCTTGATTAAAGCTCTGGTTTGGGGGGAAAATAAAATACTGTTTTCTGAAAAGAGAGTCACCTGTAGTATTTTTCCCACATTTAATTTCACCCTGATGAACTAACAACCATGCAGCTTTTATCAACTGAGAAACAAAACCTGGCATCCTCAAATGATCCAACTGTCTGGGCCTGGAAAAGGATTAGTGATAATGAGGCCCAGAAACCAGAAATCTGTAGAACAACATTACAGGGAAAAGCATATTGTTGTGAGTGGTGTAGGTAGGAAGTAGGTAGTGATTTTGACTTAAAAATATGCTCCCCCTTCCACAACGACACAAGGAGTATGCCTGGTCATACATCTTATCACATGCCTCCCTACTTCACCCCAAGAGGGTGAATTGAACTAAGTAATTTAGAGTACTTTTCCTAGCTGCAAATATTATCCCATACTTGAAAGCATGTATGTCCCACCCAGGACAGGTCGCAGAAGGTGCACGTAATAAAGCTGGGTCCAGAGAACTCTCTCTTGAGGTCTGGATTCCTAAATATGTCCTGCATGTACCAGGACATTGTCCAGTCACAGAGTCATCTCCCTGGGAAAGGTAGGGAGGTCCCATCCAGAAAAGCACCAGATAATAAAGTGGATACCTTATCACTTCATAGCTCCTGCTAAGCCACGAGAATATCTTGGAAGCTGTCAAAGTATATATTTAGGTTATATGCAGTATTTTGTATCATACTAGACATTTTGTTTTATTTAATATGATTTTAATTCTTTAGATTTAAAAACTTAACCATTGCACCCATTGAAACATAAACTGAAGCACATTAAAATTTATAAGGGTTTATTTGAGCGAGCAGCCATTCAAATTAGGGAGTGCCAAACAAAAAGTGGTTAGGAGGCTCTGCAGGCAGAAGCTAGAGGCAAGACTTTAGTAGAGATGTCAGAAGCAAAGCAAAGCAATTATTTGATTGGCTATAGCTTAAGACTGCTTTATGTGGGAAAGCCTAGCTGGCTCATTGTGATAAGCTGTTCTTAAATTTCGTTTTCTCAGATTCCAGCTTTGCTTTGCTTACCTAAGCTACCAAGGCATTTAGAGCCACCTCAGTCTAATGGTCTCCTTGTTTAATTACTTTAACAAAGCCCTACCAAATTGTGCTTTCCTTTTACAGAATAGTATAAAAACATACAGTAAACATACATTGTAAACTTAGTAAGATAAAATTGGGCTTTATAAAATTAGAAACTTTCATGAAAAGAGTAAATATGGTGTCTTAGTTGGGTTGGGCTGCTACAACAGAAATACATAGACTGGGTGGCTTGTAAAAAAACCCAACATTTATTTCTCACAGTGCTGGAGACTGGAAAGACCAAGATTAATACACCAGCTGATCAGGTGTCTGGTGAGAGCCTTCTGGTTTTGCTGACTTCCTACATAGTGGAAGGGGCAAGCAAGCTCTCTGGGGCCGTTAAAAAATTTTTTTATTGGGGTGTAGTTGATTTACAGTGTTGTGTTAGTTTCTGCTGTACAGTGAAATGAATCAGTTATGCTCTGGGGCCTTGTAAATGAAGGCACAAATCCCATGCATGAAGGCTCTGCCCTCATTAGCTAATCATCTCCCAAAGGCCTCACCTCCTAATACCATCACCCTGACCATTAGATTTTCAAAATATAAATTTTAGGGGGCACAAATATTCAGACCGTAGCACCTAGAAAACAAAGTAGTTCTACTAATATATATTTTCAAATGCTTTTTTTTTTGAGAAAAAAGAAAAATGTAGTCAGAGCATAATATAGTCAGAAAATAATGAAAATGAGATATCTTAAAGTTTATATGATTCTGTCAAGGCTCCACTTAGGTTTCAATTCTAATCCTTAAAAGCTTCTATAATTACAGAGAATAAAATAAATATACGCACCACAGCCTTCTTTTTTTCCTCATTAAGTGTCATCACTTGCTCTGGATTTGTTCCCCACCACTGTGCCCTTGTCTTGGGTGTTGTAGAAGGGTAAACAACCTCATAGAGAAAAAACACGAATCTTTTAACTACTTCCCTTTAACACATCCAATTATTCCTGGCTTTGAATCTGCCTCAAGCCGCTGACCCAAAAGCTGGAGAATGTGGGTATCGATCCCACTACCCCTCGCACGCAAAGCGAGTGCTCTTCCACTTGAGCTAATTCCCCTTCCCCTGGGATCTGACATCATCGATGTCATCACTATATCCATATGTCTTTCAGGCCCTCTAGGATCCGTTGGTAATTTTATGCCCACCAAGGCCAAACTGTACGGAATGGAGTTGAGACAACTCGTAAGCAGCCTCGTGCAGGAATCCCCGACCACGGAGCAAAAGAGAGTGAAAAACAGCTAGACCTGGAAGGTCGCTCTAGGAAAGCTCTAGCTTCGCCCTATTTTAACTTCCTGGACCTCTCCGCAGAGGGAGAGGAAGCCCTGAGCAGGACCACCAACTCATCACTTAGCTCTCTCCAAATGCTCTGCCTTCCTCTTTTGTAATAAAGGGAGGGCTATCACTGAATAGAGAAGTTTAGAGACTTCTGCAGGTGTAAAGAAGAGCAAAGCTCCAGCACAGCCTCACAGTCCAGGCTTTTCCATATGTGGCTTCTGAAAAAATATGAGCTACTCTCACACATTTTCCCCACAGAAGGTATTTTGATTTTTCCCAAATACATCGCTACCAAATACAGGATGCAGCCAGAGTGTGAGTGGAAGAGTGCAGGGGAGGCTGGTGAGAGAGGGCAGAGGTCTATCGCCAGGGTGTAAGTCATCGATAGTTATTAAAGGGTTTTAATCAGGCTTATAGTATGCTCAGGTTGCCAGTTTACTGTCTTGATGTCTGGGTAGACAGTGGGCTGGAGCTGGCATGCTGATTACTTAACCAGGAGACCTCTGACATCCACAGAGCATGGCCAGAGAGTGAGATAACTCAGTCAGGTTTTGAGAGTTAAGTCACCGCGAGAATAGTTGGATTGGATGCCTAAAGAGGGAAGAGATGGATGAAGGCAATGAGGAGCAACTTTAGTCTTGATTTTAAAATGCAGGAGTGGAAGAGAGCGGCAGGGCAGACTATTAGGAAGGTAGTAGTCTTGAACTTGCAAGCTTATGTTACTCAAGCCTGGCACTTTTGTAGAAATCTACTGAGAATAATTTTTCTTCTTGTTTTACACATAGACCATCTCATTTTAAACAGTGAAATCTAGAAGCATTCCTACTTTGTAGACTCTTAATGGCAATAGAAAATAAATGGAAACACAAGTAATAGACAATAGCATCATAAACAAACAAACAAAAACTGGTTCTCTCCACAGCTGTTCCTGAAAATAATGGCAGAATTGGCTGATTGAAAACTATTTATTGAACAAATTATACTGATAACTTCTAGAATTTTGAAGATGAATGAACACCCTCTTTATCTATTAAAGATTCTTATTGAACAGATGAAAGGAAACACAAAATAATATAATGCCTGAGATTAACCTCACAATAATATGGAAAACCAGTTTGGCAAAATGTTGATAATTGTTGAAGCATATGTGATGCGTACTTGGAGATACTTGACTCTTTCTTATTCTCGCAGTAATTTCTTTTGGGACTATGATTAGATATATGGTAGAACTTCTCTCCTAGCCTTCATTTTTCCTATTCCTCTTTCCTAATTTCCAACTACCTGTATCAGTGGATAGTATTTACATAGTTCCCTCAAATCTAACTTCCAGTTTCCTAATTCTCCCTTCTGCTCTATCTAATCTGCCATCTAATAAATCTGTTTATGTTTTCAGTGTTTTAATTTTCAAATTCCTCTTTAATAATTTCAAATACATGAGAGTTAGTGTATTACTTTCCCAATGATTCACCATCCCTTCCTGTGAAAGGCCTATTTTTGACAATTTTCCTGTTAATTATACTGTCCTTCCTTGTGAAAGTAATATAATTCCTTTACCCTTTGCTATCAGAACTGACAACAGGATGATTGATATGATTGCTTTGTATGCCTCCTTGCCTTTGCTCAGGCCCTTTCCTCAGTCTGGGACAACCTCATTCTTCACCACCCCTAGAAAACTTGCTCGTCAAGACTCACCTTCAATCTTACCTTCTTTTCCTGGGCATTTATTATCAATCTGATTAGTCAGAATTAGTTCCTATTCTTGTTCGTTCATCTGTTTGTTGTGTTCATTCTTATGAAACAGGGAGATGGAGCTGAACACTCTTTTTTCCCCTCTTTCTTCCTTCGAATTATTTTCTCGCTAGTGTTGAGTTTCTTGACGTTTTCAGTACCAGAACGCTTGGAAAACCTAGTGAAAGTTGGACAAACTCTCCCTAGAAAACACCCAGGTATCTGGTGGAGCGCGGGGGCCGTGGAGGAATCAGAATTCGTGGTTCCTCCGATGCGGATCACCCGGGAGGAGAGCCCCACGAAGTTAAAGATTCTTCTCTATGCAATGTCACCCGAAAGTATTGTAGAAGCGGCAATAACACGGAATAGAAATTGAGCCCTATTCAGATCCGTCGTCTAATTTTCCAGACTGTCTTATTAACCACGAATTAGGAGTCCACATTCGCCAGCTCCCCTGACAGCGACTCCAGTGGAACCGGCTCTGGGAACCTCTGCCCCTGCGGACAGCCGGCCGCGCTCTCGGGCCGCGGGCCCAGGCTCCCCTGACGAGGGACGGTGACAGCAAACTGGCTCAGCCCAGGTTGGCCGCGTCACGCCCACCGCCTGCCAGGACTTGACGCTGAGGCGCCTCCTGCCGGGGACCAGGCAGCCCGAGAAAGGGGAGTGAAAGCCCAGGCAGATGTGTTTCTACCACGTCTCAACCAATTTTATGACTCCTGGGAAAGCTAAGCCCGTTTTTTGCCCCTGTCGCAGCTTTTCCATCCCAGTTCTTTGTCCATTCGTGTGGAAGCTAGCCACCTCCACGTCTCCCAGACGTCTCTAAGCCGTCTCCTAAGCGTCTTTCTCTCCGGGATAGCCAGCGAGTTCCGTAGTATAAACTCTGAAATAAGGCACGCCAAGAGGTCACTGTAAGTGGACGAGGTGGCCGAGTGGTTAAGGCGATGGATTGCTAATCCATTGTGCTCTGCACGCGTGGGTTCGAATCCCACCTTCGTCGGGTGTGTGCTTTTGGTGTGAAGAATTGGGGTGCGAGTGTTTTCGAAACTTTACTAGCATTTCCAGTTATGCTCTCTTTAAGTATTTGGTCAGTATTCTGAGTTTGGCCTAATGAGGTCTGCCTTCCTCTCCACTTTCTATGAGCTCTGTCATGTTTCCCTCCCCTCTGTAAGTGTGCATGCGCTTGCATTTAAGGTGCTGACTTCTTATAACAGGTTTTGCAGATTATTCTTCAACTCTACCATGACATATTGTTCTCTTGATATTTAACAGACTTCTTGGAGGAGCTTTTGTTTTCAAGCAACTCGTATCTAGGAGAATTAATTGTTAAGGGCTTTGAACTCTATGGATCTTTTTAAGAATCGACCAATTTTGTTTCCAAATTTTTTGTTTCTTTTTTCAACACCTCCACTTATACTTGAGTAAGCCAGATTCTTCAGTACAAAGGACAATCTAGTTTCACAATGATTTTAGTATTTTATATTCATATAACAATAGAGTATAGGTTATGTATGTATAAATGTCTGAGGTCTATCCAATTAGGAGAATGACTGGAGGATTTTTTCCCTCCTCAAATTTCAATTACATTATCTTACATAGTTTTTCCAATTACATTATCTTCTCTTTTAAAATTATTATCTTAAAGATTATTTAGTAAAAATGTTTTCCCAAACTCTTCCTTTTTGAAAAAAAAAAGTAAAAACATTTTATTTTGGCAATTTTAAAACATATTGAAAATTAGACATAATGTAAAAAGTCTCTGCAAACTCATCTCAGAGTTTCAGTTATCCCCTCTATTGCCTGGACTCGCCTATGAGTCTCCTCCTGGTCTGCTTTTCCCAACTCCTCTCTTTGGGAAATTAACCTCTCATCAGGAAACTGAAACTTGGCAGCCCCTCTTCCACATCCCCTAGAGCAGTTACCACCTACAAACTTCATTAGGCTTGCTTGCAAACCTACGTAGAGTCTTTGGTAATTTATGAAGAAGAGAAAAAGAAACTGCATTAATGGGAAAGGAAATCTGAATATATGACTCTTTGATGAAACACTTGGCTTCACAGAAGCAAGTGCTCTGTGGAAAGCCAATTTGAAGCAAACCTTTTTCTTTTAAATAAAAGTACTCCAGTGTATAGTATCATTTTGGGTGAAATAAGGCAGTGTGTTTTTATACTTAAAGATGGTGGTTTCTGGCTGACTGCAATGCACCTTTCCAAACTTCTCATTTTTTTTTTAATCTTTCCTCCCTCATCTTCATACCTCAAATGATTTTTTATCCTTGTCATTTCTCTCTACAAACATTTTTAATGCTTGTCCCAAAGAGTAACTGGAAGAGAACTTTATCTTACATTACTTAGCAACCCTGTATGATATATATTTTAACTCATTCACTCATTCTCACATTCACTCAATAATTACTTCTTCAAGGTGGAGGATTGGGCCCTGGTGATGATGGGATGAACCAAGTGCTCCTGCCCTCACCAATCTCAAGGGCTCTAAATTTAAACCTAAAACAAGTCATTGGAAGTGTTAGGGGAAAAAAAAAAGAAAGAAAGACAAAGTGTTAGGAGGGTTTACAGAGGCATTGGAAGAGCAGAGGGATGGGTAATATTGGAAAGTATACAAGGAGAGAACAAGTTGGCTTCTTTAAGGTATGGAGAGCAAGGAAGGAAGGGGTGGAAGTAAGATTTGCTGAAGGTCATTTGAACGCTGAGAGGAAAATGTCCAACACATACGGGCTTTCTGAACATGGACCTACTGCTACCTCAGTGTCTTCCTTTACGACTCATAGACATTAATTTGAAGAACTGATTAAAACCCTCATCTTCCTGTGTTCTACATTGACCTGAGAAAAACCAGAAGCTTATAAAATATTCCCCTCTCTACAAGCCGCACGTGGTTCCTGCTTTTTACACTGCCTACACACTACGTTCTGTAACAGGAGGAGGCCAGTGTCCAACTCAGGTTCTGCTGCTCACTGCCAGAAAGGCTAATATTGGAGAGACAAGTGTTGGTGGAAAAGGAAAAGTTGCTTTATTCAGGAGGCCAGCAACCTGGGGA